GGGGAAACTATAATTCAGGTAACAACCACATTATTTTCACAAATTTCTATAGAAATAAATTGCAGCCCGGGCAAGGGCAACAAAAGGGAAATAGCTTGGAGGTTTGCGAAAGGATTATATCTTCACATTATACAACAATTTTCTTGAGACTCGAGCATCTCTGGAGATCTGCAAAACAGAAAATGCTGGTGACTACTGAATACTTGATACACCTATCTAATAATGTATCAAAATTGATTAGAGCTACTAGACAAAAGAAATTTCTGGTACTGGGGGTGCTTCTGATACTTCCCATAGTTGTTGCATGATCTTTAGAAACAATAATATTGATAAGAAAGCTATCCCAACACCCAGTATTTAAGCATACATGAATAGCATATAACAAAACACGTCATGACTAATCCCCATATATTTGACAATGGTTCCTTTTCAAAAAAGGATGAATAAGCTAAATAAATGCATGCATCACATGCATAAATATAAAGTAGCACACAAGTAACAGAGATTTCTGTGATGAAAACAGTAGAACACTCACATTTGGCCGAGACTGGCAAGATCAAAATCAGGAGCTAACTCGTGCAGTATATCGCTTGGTGGTTGACCACATTCTTGCATTTTCTGCATGAACTCAACAATCTTGTTGAAGTTGCTGGGCTCTTTTTCATATACTTCGTTGAGGTCTTTAATGAGTTTGTATTGGTGAGAAAAACGTTCATATTCTTCTTTGCTCAAACTTGATGCGTGTTCTGCCAACCATTTTGGATATCTTTCTCCAATCTCTTTCATGGGTTCGTGAAGAATCTCCTTGGACAAAAGCTGTTGCATCATGGTCTCCATAATAGACTCCATGCCCTGCACAAAATGGAAAAACAAGTTGAGTGTTTATTCGCGATATATCAAGAGTGCAGAATCATAGAAAATGCATACATATTCACAAAGGAAATAAATCGATTAGTTGAAACTTGCAACCCTGAACCTCCATTCTATGATATTCACATTCCACAGGATTCATTAGCAAGATAAAGAGGATGAGTTTGCTGATCTTAGCAACACATCAAACTTCGTGGCCCAAATCCACTACGTTTCAGTTTCCATGATTCAGAAAAAGATCACAAATAACTAAACTACAAGATACAGAGCAACCTATTAGTATCTTAGGCACAACTCGATTTCTGTAAATAAACAAAATATTAGGATAATTAAACCATATTTCTGATATTTGTTTTATTAGCCCTTTTTATTTTGTGACTTTTCTGTTATGCCAGCTGTGTAGGTAAGAATATTCTAGAGAAAGTTTGTCAGCTAACAAACTCAGAGGCAGTGCCTCTACATGTAATTGGGTTGTTCCCCTTTTCACCGTAAGAAATAAGAATGTTTCTTCTCCTTTTCATTCTATTTTCCTAATATGGTATCAAAGCAATTTTCTTCCTCTGCTTCTCTTTCTTCTCTTCCTTCTTCTTTCAATCTCTGAGTATGGCTCGAGGTGGTGGTGGGGGAAAACCCCCACAATAATCCCAATAATACCAATCGGTTCCAAGCACTCACTCCTTCTACTACCACTTCACAGTGGCGATCATCCTGGCCTAGCCCTTGTTTCTCACATTCTTACCGGCCCCAACTATAACACTTGGAGTCGCGCCATGCTCATGGCTCTTAATGCCAAAAACAAGCTTGGATTTGTTGATGGTGCTCTTCTGCAGCCACATCCAGAGGACCCCTCCGCCGGTGTCTGGTCTAGATGTAACAGTATGGTTACGTCTTGGCTCCTCAACGCAGTTTCTAAGGAAATTGCCGACAGCCTCCTCTATCTTGAGAGTGCTTAAGCTGTTTGGTCCGATCTGCACGATCGATTTCGTCAGATCAACGCTCCACGCATCTTTCAAATCAAACAACAACTGCACGAGCTGTCTCAAGGATCCCTTGATGTCAACACCTACTACACTTGCTTGAAGATCTTGTGGGATGAGCTAAAAATTTTCAGCTCGTCCCTGTCTGTCAGTGTGGAGGTATGAGAGCATGGATGGATTATCAACAACAAGAATACGTCATGCAGTTTCTAATGGGTCTCAACGAATCCTATGCCGGAATGCGTGGTTAGATCTTGATGCTTGACCCCTTACCCTATGTTTCAAAGGTATTCAATCTTGTTGTTCAAGAAGAATGACAACGTTCTATTGGCTCTAGTTCTCTGTCTCCGGCCGATTCTCTGGCCTTCAGTGTCCTTTCTCCTTTGCCCTTTCTTCCTACTCCGGCCGTCACCGCTGCCTCATGTGCTCCGAGTAAGCCGAGGCGTGATCGACCTATCTGCTCTCATTGTGGGCTTGCTGGCCACACTGTGGATCGTTGCTACAAGTTACATGGTTTCCCACCAGGTTACAAGCCCCGGCCCAGGACACCACAGGCCCAACAGACTCTGGCCTAGCACTCCTTTCAATCCACACATCACTTTGTCTCCTCCTCTGAGCGTCCCAAGAACCCTTCGTTCTCTTCACCGCCCACGGCAGCAGCAGCCATGGGGTCATCTTCACTGCCAAGTTCTCTCACCGCCGATCAAGTTCAGCAGCTCATTGCCTACCTCAGCTCGCAGCTCCATGTTCCGGCCACTGGCACATATGATTCTCCATCGGCTCCGAGATCCTCTGTTCCCACGTCCATGGTAATTCCTATTCTCTTCTTTCTCTTTCGCATCCCTTCGTCCTCATGATGCTTGGGTAATTGATACTGGTGCCACACATCATGTTTGCTCAAATTTATCTTGTTTCTCTCATTCCACACTTATTGACCCAATCACCATCACTCTCCCTAATGGTAACACCGTAATTGTTAATCGATTCGGCACAATCACATTATATGATTCTTTGGTTTTGGACAATGTCCTGTTTGTTCCCATGTTCTCTTTCAATCTGCTCAGTGTCAGCGCTCTTACCCTCAACCATCATTGTCGTGTAACTTTCTCTCTAATTCATGTGTCATCCAGGACCTCTTTCAGGGCTTGACGATTAGGAGGGGTAGACGCCAAGGCAACCTCTATTTTTTAGAATTAGGGAATCCTATTTGCAACTCTTTATTTTCTTGTGCTGCAATGTCTAAAAGTGATGTTTGGCATTTTCGGCTTGGGCATCCATCTCGTGTAAAACTTCAAATTCTACATAATGAAATACAAATCCCTGGTTCCTTATCTCATTTATCTTCTCATTGTCAAATTTGTCATATGGCCAAACAGAAACGACTTCCCTTTATTTCTTATAATAACATGTCTCCCAAACCATTTGATTTGGTGCATATTGATGTTTGGGGTGCTTTTCATGTTGCAACTCCTACTGGACATAAATACTTTCTTACCATAGTTGATGATTGCACTCGTGCTACTTGAGTTTATTTATTGCATGCCAAATCCGATGTTCTTACCACTTTTCCTGCCTTTTACAACTTAATTTTCACTCAATATAATACTAAAATTAAATCGGTTCGCTCAGATAATGCTCCTGAATTGGCATTCCTTGATTTTTTCCATTCTAAAGGCATTCTTCCTTATCAGTCTTATGTTGACACACCTGAGCAAAATTCAATCATTGAACGTAAATATCAACATATTCTTAATATAGCTCGTGCCCTCTAGTTTCAATCATGTGTACCTCTTTGTTATTGGGGTGATTGTGTCTTGACTGCAGTTTACCTCATCAACCGTACACCATCTCCACTGCTCTCCAACAAAACCCCCTTTGAACTTTTGAATAATAAGAAACCACCTTATACTCACCTTCGCACCTTTGGCTGTTTATGTTATGGTTCAACTCTTCCTAATCACCGCACAAAGTTTGCCCATCGGGCTTGTGCCTCAATTTTTCTTGGTTACCCTTTTTTGGTTATAAAGGTTACAAACTACTCGATTTAGAGAGCAACAAAACTTACATTTCCCGTAATGTGATGTTTCATGAATCCATCTTTCCTTTTGCTAATTCCCCTCCCGGTCCTGCTCTCCATGACTTCTTCACTGACCAAGTGCTTCCCACACCCCTTCCTCTCCTGAATCTCTTCCCTCCCCTAACTCATCTTCCTCTTACACGTCTCCTTCTCCTACTGCCACTATTCCTCCTCCCTCAATTCCTATCTGCCGACCACAACGACTCACCAAACCACCCTCTTATCTGTCTGATTATCATTGTTCCTTAGTTACACAGTCATCTTCCTCTTCCTCTTCCGTTCTCAGTCCATCCCACTCTACTTCTCATCCAATATCCTCCTTTCTTAGTTATCACAAGTTGTCCCAGCCATACCAGACCTTTGTCTTGTCTCTCTCATCCCATACCGAACCAAAATCTTTTTCTCAAGCCGTTGAGTCTCAGATGTGGCGTGATGCAATGAATGTCGAGTTGCAGGCTTTGGAAAGCAACAACACCTGGTCCATCGTGCCTCTTCCTCATGGCAACACCCGGTGGGTTGCAAATGGGTGTACAAGACCAAGTTTCACGCTGATGGAACTATTGAAAGGCATAAAGCCCGCCTCGTTGCAAAAGGTTACACACAACAGCATGGCATTGACTTCCTGGACACCTTCTCCCTGTCGCAAAGCTTGTTACAGTCAAAGTTTTGCTTTCTTTAGCTGTTGTTTTTGGTTGGTCTCTTACTCAGTTTGATGTGACCAATGCATTCCTCCATGGAGACCTCACTGAAGAAGTTTATATGACCCTTCCACCTGGCTATGTTGGTGGAAAGGGGGAGATCTTACCTCCTAATGCGGTTTGCAGGCTCCATAAATCAATCTATGGCTTGAAGCAAGCGTCTCGACAATGGTTTTACAAGTTCTCAAGTGTTTCGGATTGTGACCATTCCCTATTCACCAAATCTCATGGTAATTCCTTCTTGGCTCTCTTGGTGTATGTTGATGACATTATAATAGCAAGCAATGAGCAAACTGCCGTGGATACTCTAAAGGCAGCCCTCAATGGACGGTTCAAGATGAAGGACTTCTGGGCACTAAGGTGTTTTTTGGGTTTTGAGGTTGCTAGATCCGCTGCTGGTATTTCTCTTTGTCAAAGAACATATGCTCTAGAGTTGCTGTCCGAAGCAAGATATTTGGGTTGCAAACCTGTTTCCGTCCCTATGGAACCCAATTTGAAAATCTCACAATCTGATGGTGACTTACTTGAGGATCCTACAAGCTACCGAAGATTAATTGGAAAGCTAATATATCTCACCATCACACGTCCTGATCTTAGCTACTCTGTAAACTGTCTCAGTCAATTTCTGGCAGCTCCACGCACTGTGCATCTTCGAGCAGCTATGCGGATTTTTCAATACATCAAGATAACTCCTGGTCAGGGACTTTTCTTCCCTTTGACTTCAACTATACAGCGCAAGGCCTTTTAAGATGCGGATTGGGGGACTTGTCCAGACACTCGACGCTCCCTTACTGGCTTCTGTATTTTCCTTGGATCCTCTCTCATTTCTTGGAAATCTAAGAAGCAACAAGTGGTCTCTCACTCTTCTGCGGAAGCTGAGTACCAATCCATGGCCAACACCACTTGTGAGATTGTTTGGTTGCTTGGTTTGCTTAAGGAATTGAAAGTTGATCACCAAGGACCAACTCTCTTTTACTGTGACAATCAAGCTACCACTCACATTGCTGCCAACCCAGTCTATCATGAGCGCACCAAACACATCGAGATCGATTGTCATTTTGTGCAAGAAAAGATCCAAGATAGAGTCTTAAAAACCATGCATGTTTCAACTCACAATCAGCTTGCAGATCTTCTTACTAGCGCTCTTCATCCTACTCAGTTTAAGCTTCTTTTAAGCACAATGAGAATTCATAATTTGTACTCTCCATCTTGAGGGGGAGTATTAGGATAATTAAACCATATTTCTAATATTTGTTTTATTAGCCCTTTTTATTTTGTGATTTTTCTGTTATGCCTGTGTAGGTAAGAATATTCTAGAGAAAGTTTGTTAGCTAGCAAACTCAGAGGCAGTGCCTCTATATATAATTGGGTTGTTCCCCTTTTCACCGTAAGAAATGAGAATGTTTCTTCTCCTTTTCATTCTATTTTCCTAATACAAAATTCACAATTGTTTAATCTCGTGCCAAAGATGCATAAAAATGACGCATGCATAACTACTATGTAGAATTATTGTTCAAATCGAAACCAGAAGATAAGGTAAAGGTAGCAAGCAAGCAGTCTAGCGGAACCTCACAATTCACATGTCCTACGGTTGAAGCACACTAAAATAAATAGATAAATAAATAAAAATAATATTCGTCGAGAATTCAGAATTCAAATCACCAAATCAATGGAGAAGGAAGTAAAAGGGAAAGCTTGAAAATTGGAGGAAACCCTAAAATTAAAAGAGGCGGAATTTATAATTTTGTTACCTGGGAGCCGGCGAGCTCCTCAAACTGCTTGACCCAATCTTCCATGATAGCATCGTCGGCGTTTGGATTGGAGGTTGCGGTGACGGATTCGAGACCCTTGACGGCCTCTCTGGTTTGGGCTCTGAGTTGATCAAGTGCTTCTGAGACATGGGATTCCTTCTCCTTCTCCTTCTCCTTCTCCTTCTTTGGAGCCTTTTCCCTTTGCTTCCCTTTTTTCTTCTTGCTTTTCAGGTCAGGCAAACCCAATCCCAATCCCAGCCCTTGAACCCCTGAAAGCGTACGACCTTCTTCTTCTTCTCCTCCTCCTCCTCTTCTACTTATACATACATATATATATATATATATATATATATATATGTGTGTATATAATCATACAGAAAATGTTACTGTCTCAGCTAAAGCTTTGGGAGGGAGCAGAGAAAAAGAATGATTATATAGATTATAGAAAGAAAGTAGAACTTACCTTTGAACGTTGTTGAGGTTGAGATTGTGGAAATCGTCCAGAGCACCTGATATTATATTATTATTATTATTTATTATTTATATTAAAAAAAAGTAGGGAAGAAGAAAGAAGAAGTGATTAATTCATTGGGGATGGGGGACTTGACTTACTATCAAGAAGTTCATCCAAGTCATCGTTATGATGGTCGGCGGCCATGGATGGTCGTCTCAGCTCGAATTGGAGGTCTTCTCTCTCCCCCCCTTATACTATTTCTCTTGTATTTGCTATATTAGATATTTTTCCACGCTTAAATATCTATATTATCTTTTACTCCTTTTTTTTCTCAAAAATAAAATAAAATAAAATTTCATGTTGAGACGGTTTTGACCTTTTTTCTGGAATGGAAAAATTAAAAAGAGGGCATATTTTCCTTTTCCCCTCTTTCTTTTAGCACCAAAATAATAAATATAAAAATAAAAAAGAAAATTGGAGAGTAAGAAAGAAATAAGAATAGCAGAGAGAGAGAGAGAGTAATCTAATCCGCCATAAGTTGAGGTAGTAATGGCGGTGGCGGCGGCATTAGCACCCGTGTGTTCTCTCCGGTTGAAATTGAAGTCGTACTCAGCTCTCCGGTTGCTGTCGTTTTACTCTGCCATCCCCACCCGACCTCTCTTTTTCCCGCCAATTCGTCCCCGCCCGCTTCGATGCTTGTGCTCTGTGGCCTCCGGCGTGGAAGAGTTCAGGAAGAAGCTGAGTGTCGCCGATATCAAAGGCGGCCCCGACCAGGGCTTGGATCGATTGGGGCAGACTCTCGTTGTCAAAGGCTGGGTTCGGACTCTTCGTCTTCAGAGCACCGTCACTTTCATTGAGGTAAATAGCACCACAAGATTAGAAATTAAAAATAAAAAACATAACTTTGTGTTCAATCATTTTGTGGAGAGTATAAAGTTTCTAGCTTTTCAACTGTTTTTTTTATTTATTTAAAAAAAAAAAAAAACATTTTCAATGAAGAGAGTGAAGGATTAGATTCAGTGCTTGTCCAACATGAGATATGAGGGTAAGAATAATGATAATTTGTTCTGTTGTTAGGTTAATGATGGTTCGTGTCTCTCAAACATGCAATGTGTGTTGGACCCGGACACCGAAGGTTATGGCCAGGTAACGATAGTATATGCTCATTCTTCCATTTCTTATAGATACGCTTTCTAAACATTCAAAGCAACAATCTTTTGTTTTTGTAAGTATTGTTGAGACCGATAATTTCCTTCTTTTTTTTTCCCCCTCCTTGTCCTAGTAATGTTGTTTTGTTGTTAAACTATAATGGATTTTGATGTTTAGTGTTTAATGAATTTGTTGCGTATCTAGTTGTGGTTTTCTGTTTATTTAGAAAGCTCAGCGTTTGGAGGTTATGAATAGGTAGAATCTGGGTCGGTTGCTACTGGTGCGTCAATTTGGGTGCAAGGGATTGTGGTCAGCAGCCAAGGATCAAAACAAAAAGTGGAGTTGAAGGTCAAGAAAATTCTGGTGGTTGGTACCTCTATTCATATCATCACTCTTTATTGCAGTGAATTTGTGCTTTATTTTCTATGAAATATTACAAGGACTATACCATTTCAAACCTTGGACAATGTATTAATCACGATTATGATTACTTACGAGCAGGAACAGTAGTAAATACTATTATCATACAAAGGCGGGATTTAGGTCTCACATCTCAAGGCTCGGCATTTATAGATGCAACTCTTTTCAATTAGACCTAAAAATTTGAACCATTGCATTAATACTTAATATAGCATGTTTGCTGGAAATGGAATATGGTGTTATATTTATCTTGCTTGAAGGCTGCAGTCAAATGTACTTCACTTCAACTGGGATGTTTCATATGAGAGTCTGGGGCAAAAAAATACATATCTTGAAGCTTCGTTCTCTATCTTGCATTTCACGGTCCCTCAACTTGATAATTCTCTGACCCGGTTCTTCTAGTCAATCTAACAGTCTGACCCAATGTTACCGTGGACTACAGCTCTATGGAAAAGGAGTATTAATTATGATAAATTTTGTACATTTTCAAGTTTCCCTTTTCTACTTATCCAGCTTCATAGGTGATTTTACAAACAATAATGATTGTATTTGGTTTCATCGTTATAGATCGGGAAAAGTGATCCTTCATTTCCCATTCAAAAGAAGAGGGTAAGCAGAGAATTTTTGAGAACTAAAGCTCATCTCCGTCCAAGAACAAACACATTTGGTGCGGTAAGGTTCTGCTTCTTCGCATTTTGTGCTTTTGGTTCTTTGACACTCAATTAATGTGAGTGATGTGATGGGGGGTTGTTTGACATGTTTCTATTTACATGATTGTGTTTAGGTTGCAAGGGTCAGGAATGCTTTGGCCTATGCTACACACAAATTTTTCCAAGAAAATGGGTTCGTTTGGGTGTCAAGTCCTATTATTACTGCTTCAGACTGTGAAGGAGCAGGTGAACAGTTCTGTGTGACTACTTTGGTATGCATCATGGCTTGAGTATATTCCTTCTGCTTTCTCAATCAGATTCAGATTTGCAGCATCATGTATCTTTTCTTCATAACAGACCGTTTTGCTATCCAAAATGTTGAAAGTACAAGTAGGATGTATTATATGATGCTGTTTTTAGTTGTCTCCTGTCTTAGCTGCTTTTCATAAGGTATATTATTATGAGACAATCTTGTAAATTGGACTCTTTTTAAAAAGAATTTGACTTCCAACCTTTCAGACGCTAAGATACTTATGAATGAATAGGAATAGCCTTGATAGCAAAACACAATTTCATGTTTCCTCGATTGATTTCAGTTATGGATTGAGAACAAGTAGTATTTTCCTTTCGTCTTGCATTCCATGTTAATCTTCCTGCTTCTTTTTTTTTTTTCTTTCTTTTCTTTATTTTAGTTTAGCAATCTTTTTGAATTAACAGATGCCAAGCTCCAGAGATGACGTTGATTCTCCTGTGGATGGCATTCCAAAAACAAAGGATGGTTTAATTGACTGGTCACAAGTGAGTCGGGCCTTTTTTTTTGTCAATTTCTTTTCTTTTCGTTTTTATCTCTTGCAGCTTGCAACTTGCTGCAGGGTTGATCTTCTTTAAAAGTGTTCTTCTTGTTGAGCTCATTTTCTGTTGTTCATCTTTCCTTTCGTTGGTCTTTCTGGAACTGTTTTGGTTTAGAATAGTTGTAACATATACCATGCATTTTTATGAGCAATTCCAATTACAGAATTTATGTTTTTTACTTATTTTTTTCACGTGTCAGGACTTTTTTGGGAAACCGGCATTCTTGACCGTCTCTGGCCAGCTTAATGCTGAAACCTATGCCACTGCTCTTTCTGATGTATGTTTTTTGTGAACTTGGCTGACGTATGTCTTTTATGAAGATGTTCTCATCCTAATTATAGATTTGCACAAAAGTCCTAAAATCTTACCATGTAACTAACGACTTTTTCAGGTGTACACATTTGGTCCCACATTCCGCGCTGAAAATTCAAACACTTCTAGGCACTTGGCTGAATTTTGGGTAAGTGTTTGTTCTTTAGTTACTTCATATGCCTCTTTTGCAAACTTTGCTCTCCGGTTTCTCTACTATGAAACAAGTATCTTACAATTTTCTTTCCCTTTCCCGTTAAATAAGATGATTGAACCTGAACTTGCATTTGCTGATCTAAATGATGACATGGCTTGTGCGACTGCGTATCTCCAGTATGTAGTACGTTGTCTCCCACAACTATTTTCATTTCGACATAACTTATTAGAATATAGTGGAAAAACTCAAGACAGAAGGTAACACATGACACGGTATCATTTTTATTCTATTCTAGTAAACACCTGCTTATGTATTTGTAGGTGAGATATGTACTTGAAAATTGTAAGGAGGACATGGAGTTTTTCAATACATGGATTGAGAAGGGAATAATTGATCGATTGAGTGTATGAGCTTCCAGTGTAACTTGACTTTACTTCTTTTTGCTCCCATTTGATCTCCTTGTGATACTTTCGTTTGTGAACTGCCTTTTCCTTCTCTATAATTTTATTTATCATCTTCCTTTGCTTTTGTTTTTGGTCAACAGAATGTCGCTGCAAAAGAATTTGTACAGTTGACTTATACCGATGCGATCGAACTTCTTCAAAGAGCAAAGAAGAAATTTGAATTCTCTGTACTACCAGCTATTTGAACTTATCAAATCATCTTGCCTATTTCATTCACTGTGATTCATTTTACATTGCGATGCCTTGCTGAATTTCAATTAGAAAACATCAATAATGCTCCAATCTTTATCTGGTCTTATAGAGAATTAATTTATTGCTTCATGAACTTATGTGCATCGAACTTATATGTTGTCCATTAGTATGCTTTTGGATCCTTAGTTTGTACTGGCTAACTTGTCTTTTCCCCTGATTTATTTGGGTCGAATGATAGTTATATTTTCATGATTGGAGTCAGTTAAGTTTGAACCATATGAATCTAATAATTTCTTGATTTTTCTTCTGAGAGAACGCGATGATATCTTGTTATAAAAGGATATCACATATTTCCTTTTTATTTATTAGTGCACTGCTCCAACGCTAGTTGTTTTTCCTTCACCGTGTACTTTTCCGAATGCCTTTTCTTTTTCCTTTTAAATGTTTAATAATATGGGTGTAGTTCTCTGATAATTTCTTAATACCTATTTTTAGGTCGAGTGGGGGTGTGATTTGCAGAGTGAGCATGAACGCTACATAACCGAAGAAGCATTTAGTGGATGTCCTGTGATAATCAGGGACTATCCTAAGGCATTCCCTCTCTCCCTCTTTTCCTCTTTCTGTTGATTGTTTTTTTTCACTTCCAAATTATTTCGTTTAGTTATACAGTATCAACATTTCAGGAGATTAAAGCATTCTACATGCGGCAAAATGATGATGGGAAGACTGTTGCAGCCATGGATTTGCTCGTTCCTCGGGTAACGTAAAGCTTTTCTACTTTCTATTGGTGATATACAGATATTCATTACATTCTGAAGTAGTTTTAAGAGAGTGAAGTTTGTTGGTATATCTGGCCTGATACTGACTCTTTAGTTTGAAAGAGTCATTTATATCATATTGGGTTCAGTTATATAGAATGAAATTATAGTCATTAAAATTGAAGGTTCGGGAGATTAGAATACTCTAAAAGCACCAGGATGTAGGCTGTTTTAGGCAAGAGATGCAGTCAATCAACATTTCCATGATGGGTAGTTGTGTTGTGGTCGGCGGTACTTATGCTTATCGTGAAAAATTAGATCAGAAATCTGTTTGAATAGAAACTTGGCCACTCACATTTTGTGTCTCTATTTTCTGTTCTTTTGCAGGTGGGTGAGCTTATTGGTGGAAGCCAAAGGGAAGAGCGGCTTGAATATCTGGAGGATAGATTGGATCAGCTGAAGCTGAATAAGGACAGCTACTGGTGGTATCTTGATTTGCGTCGATATGGTTCAGGTCAATAGTTCTTTATCTCAACAGTTTTTCTCTAGTTGCATGCTTTCTGAGTCATCTGTGATAAGCAAGCGATTTTGAATATCGGGTCTTATAATATGTTTGGATGTGATTTCACTATTAAGCTTCAATGCCCCCAACTAAAATTTTTTGTATGTAATTATGTTATGTATTATAATCTGAGGTTTTATTGTTGTTGTTGTTGTTGTTTCAGTTCCTCATGCGGGTTTCGGGTTGGGGTTTGAAAGGCTTGTACAATTTGCAACTGGATTAGAGAATATAAGAGATGCAATCCCCTTCCCTCGGACACCTGGTTCTGCAGAATTTTAACCATCACTTGTCCATCCAACTTTTACATGGTCCAAGAGAAGCCTCTATTATCGGATCTCAATTTTCTCTTTTCCCCATTTAATTCAATTCATCAAGAGTAGATCATAAAGTGCTATTATTGTGTATTCTTTTATATTAGATTGTATTACGTTGAGAATAAGCAACATGCCAGTTTAATGAAAATTTTCGGAATTTTAAAGTTATAACCTATAAGCAAACAGGAGTTTTTTTTCTTTTCTTTTTTTTTCTCTAATTTATTACCCTAGAGTTCTCCTGTTGCCTTTAATAAAGTTTTATGTCTCGTGTGTTAAGACGCTAAAATGGAGAGAGAGAAACGACGCATATAGAATGAAGAGAGAAACGACCATTGAACATGCAAGCAAAATTGTGATGAACAATTATCTTTGACTCGATTTCTTGATTTACTGCAAATGATTCGAAATGACCAAACATGATATTTATTTGTTTTTGTTTTGTCGTTTCTTTTTTAACTCAATAGTACACTATCATATCCCCTGCGAAAATCTGTGGACGTTTCCTTGTGTCTACTCATCAAAAGGAAGCCCCCTTTCTTTTTGTTTCCAACAAATGAATAAATGAACTGTACAAAGGTGCCCACACTGAACCAGCTCTTCAAGCCTCGGACATTTATAAGGCTTAATAACTACATATAAAAACCGCGCCCAATTCCATCATTTACGGCGCAGTTGGAAGATAGGTAAAGGAAACATTCCTTTCTTCTCGTATAAACTCATATTCCAGCCCTTACCCACTATTTCATTTTCTGAGAAATGCAGGAGCAGGAACGTCATCCCAAAGTATTGTATTGGTCAACGAGGAACAAACTAAATATGTACATCTTCATGACTTGCTCAAAGTTCCACTTCTTGAAGGTCATCTCCAAAATTGCCACTGTTCATCTGCGTACGCCTCAAAGGAGGGTCACTAGGCGTAAACGACGATGGGGACATGCCCAATGCCTCTCCTAAAGGCTTTACGTCGGTTGCTTTTGGTGGGGGGCTATATGAATCACTAAAACTTCCGCTCCATGAGGCGGTACGTCGCGAGTGCGATGAAAGGGAGCTATGCCCATTTGCTGTCACTCTCTGGGTAGGAATGTTATCCATGCTTGGGAACCTTTGCATGTTTGACGACGGTGCAGGATTATGGAACACATGGTTTATAGCAGATGTTGAAGCATCCCCACTAGTTGAAACATATTCGTGCACACTTTCGGCTACAGCCTCCATTTTCTGCTCACCGGATGCAGGGGTGGGAACAAAAAACTTTGCATTCGCGGCAACAGCAGGCTTAATAGACGGTATAGAAGGTGACTGGAATGAAGTTGCCGGTCTTCCACCACCCTGGTTGAAAGTGTCAACATACCTGCAAGAGGTCCATAGAATACACAGTAAAATATATTAATCGATATGAATTTTCAACATAATTATTACAAACCAAATTTATATTTCATATAACAGGCTTGGTAAGGCAAAGCTCCACATTTGCCCACGCCAAAGCTATGTATGCACACATCGATTAAGTCATCCATAATATACCATATTTAATCATTCTCATTTTGAACGGCCAATCAAAATGAAAAATTACAACTCAAACACTTGGAGAAAGAAGGAAAGAATTTGTGCACCTTGACCGAACACCCATCCGCCCACGAGCTGAGAATTGATTTGAACTGGGTGGAATAGGTGGCATCCCAGAACTATATTCCGAAGGAATTGAACTTATTAACTCTGGGCTTCCGACAGAAGGAGATGCTTCGCTCTTCAATGCGGATTTCAAACTGTAATCAGACATTCCGTTTTGGAAGGCTGCAGTTGTTGGAGGAGGTGGCAGGGCAGCTTCTTCAGTAGGCAGCTCGGCTCCTTGTTCTACCCATCTCTTCAGCTTTTCATCATAATAGAATTTGTTCTCTTCACCCAATTTAGCCTTTGGTAGCAATTCAAGATAGAAAGTAGAAACCATTTAGAATCAGGCGTCAAGAGAGGCGTTATCTACAATCCTTCCTCAAGGACAGGTGGGGAAAAGGACTAAAAGAGTAATTCACAGGGTAGCCTAACATATATTTATTATTTAGAGAAAAAAAAAATGTTAGAAAAACTACCTGTTTCCCTGGTCGAGGCCTTAAAACTAGGCCCACAGTCTTTTGCAACAGCTGTGACCCAAAACCAAATCGAGAAAAGCGAGATGTTCCTCCTGACACTGATGTTTTGCCTTGTGCATCAGCTGTGCTTAATTCTTTTGATGGGTCAACCTGATAGTTACCATTAGTCAGAAAGATCTTACAAGATACTGCATAAAATCCGAATGCAGATGAATAAAAAAGATAATCGGGCATACAGGTTTTGTTAAAACAGAGACATTGAAAACACGTTATGAGATATTACATACCTGTCTTGGAGTTCTACCGAAGTCAGGCTCTGACACACTTCTGTTAGACATTGCCATTTTATTGCCATCAGCAGCCCACTCACTTATGGGCTCCATCGAAGCAGAAGGCATTAGTGATAATTGACTACTTGATACTCTGGGGGCCACCTGCTGGTGAAAATGTTCATTAACTTGGACAGTTCCCTGTGATGTAGACGGTACCGGTGGTGGTAATCCCCCAACAACACGGTGTGCAGTACTGTCAAAAAAGTTTAGCAGTTTGCCAACTAATTTTGCAGGAGCCAAATTTGTGGCGTATCCACCCTGCAAAACGCATTTCATATAAAGGGTTCAGTTTTAATTATTCGAAAGGTGACAACGTATGCATGTTATTATGATAGAAAAATAAAGCACCTGTTGATGAGTTTTAATCCTTTCATCAAGTGATAATACTAGCTGTTTCCACGTTTCTACTTCAGGTGCTCTACCGGTTTTCAAAGACTTTAATATTGCTTGACAGTATCTGGAAAGAATCACTTTAAGTTAAGACAAGTAGAGAGGTGGTATACCGGTATTTAGTATCAATGAAGAAAAGGGAGAGAGAGAGAGAAAGAGAGAGAGAGAGAGAGACTGTACTTCAAAGAATCTGAAACTTTTCCAACTTCAGCTAGCATGTGTGCATAGATTAGCTTATATGGCTGAAATGGTAGCAAGATAAACTGAGAGTTCCCGAGCACCTTTGAGTATTCGTATAACTCGGTCCTCTGTCCCAACACCAATTAGGTTACATTCCAATTCCACAAAAGCACCCAATAGGGCCTCATTAGTAAAACAGATGAATAATGCAGAAAAAGTTGGTCGCTTGCAACTACAAGGACATTCTGAGCTTGCATTAATCCCACAAGTACAAGCACGATTAAAAAATTAAAAGAGGACCGCTGAAGTAACATATCTGACATAAGTATAAAAAGCACAATTCGGAATCAGAGGTCAGGCATGCATGAAACCTGGCTAGCGGAGGACCATGAGGCACAAATGCACACGTATTCATGGTTCAGCTAACTAGTAAATAGAATTAAAAGAATGCAACCAGATAAATGCAGCACAAGATGCATTGATAAGGAACTTTCCAAATAAAACTGAACAAGAGAAGTGAATTAGAAAGAACCTGAATAGCCTCTGGACTAGCGTAGGTCCGAGGAAATTTCCAGTGATCTGCTCCAATGAGACACAGTCTTGCACTGTCTGAATATGACTCGAAGTTTGCTTCAGCAACTAAATAGCATATATGTGCTGCAGCTATCTGAAAGATCTTTCATGTCAGTTTCACAATAGGCAAAACCCTCGGCAAAGGTCTGCAGCAGATAAGTTAGATGATAAATATCCTACCTCACTTCTTTCCTTCCATAGGCAGTCTCCAAGATGAAGAAGTACCAATTCATCATCTTTTGTTCTGTTTGCAGTTATTACGGCCAGATTCTCCTCCCAATCATCAAGCATATTACTAGCACCAAACTGTTGAGAAAATACAGAGATTTCAAAACAGGTTATTACAAAAATTGGTACACATTTAACAAATAGCCACTGAGACAACTGGATCAGGGCTATAAAAAGAAGGCAATTAACTTGAAACGTCCCAAAACGGGAATGGAAACTTTTGACTTCTTTTTTTTTTTTTTTCCTTGCCAGTTTTAGCGCAGACTCACATGGATGTATATAGAATACAGAGAATCCATTAATTTAAAACAAATGCTTCATTTACTCTGTCAGGATTCTCTTTGAGGATTTCTGTTTTTATTATTCTGTGTTATAGCCAGTTCGCCTTCAATACTTCAATATCAATGCCAAAACAAATAATTTCTTGAAGAAAGAGAAAACCACCAAAATAAATAACGGTTAACTAGATGAATACCCTTGCATGAAGTACCGCAAACTTGCCAAAGAGACAGTTCTTAAATGAACTCACCTGCGTAGGCTGTTGAGGCATTAAAACACCGTCTGGAAGGTTGCCATTTGTAGCGTCCACCGAAAACACCTCAGCTGGTTGCCCTGCAATAAGCAGGCACAAAGTCCGCAAAGGGGATCCTGCAACCAGCTGGCGAAGTGCCATTTGCTTGATAGTATCGACGTAGAACTGGAGTGGTTGAAAAAAAAAGGTGAAGAGCGTGTCAAAAAATTCACAGCATTTGTCACGCATGCAAGTAACTGAATAGAGTTTGGCACATGTATGAAATTCGACAACAAACCTGATCACCAAGTTGTGAAGCAAGAACAAGTGCAGGGCCCCACAGTTGACCATCTTGTGCACATTGTAAAGCCTCTTTCTTTCTACCAGAAACTAGATGATTTTGCACCTCAGAAGCAGTTGCCTACAATATTGATACATCTTATTGCAAAATGATACAAGATTGCTACATATATGAGGAAGAAGGAAAGGAGAAAGCTGAAGAAAAGTTTTCATACCCATATTTCTCCTTCAGAAGGCAGTTTCTGCAAGCAGTGGCTAAGAGCACCATACTCACTGAATTGTGCACCATTCCTCTTCGCAGATGCAAAAAGTTTAGCAACTGCAGATTCAGGGGCATCATTCTCCTGTCAAAAAGACAAATACACAGAATTAGCAGATGCATAATTTGTCAAGACAACACTGCATGGATGAAACAGTGAGAACCCATTTATGCATGTCAAGCTGAATCCATCATACGGGAGCGTGGCATGGAAAGGGAGAGAGCTGAGATAATTCCCAAAAGGCAGCGACTCAAAACTAACAATTAATTACCCCTATCTATTTCAGTATGACACGAAATAGAAGCATCGTTTGAAAGTACAAACATGATTGGACGTTACTTCTGGAACAGAACATTAGTAAAACAGTATGTCATTATGCAAAAAAATCCCCAACAGTACATCACTCTTTTATTGCCAAAAGCACTCTGCTAGAAGCACATGACTAGGCCTTTATCACATTACAGGATCATGACAGAATGGGATTTTTCCTTTTTTGGCATTATCACCAAAGCAATAGTGAATGTCATGATTTGAACAGATTGTTAAACGAGGATAAACAGAAAATATATATGACAAGAGACAAAGTCAGGGCGCGAGAGTGTGACTTACTCTCAATACAGCATCAGAACCAAAAGGAGAACGAAGTTTTCCATAATGTTGACAAGCTATCTTAAGTAATGAGAGGAGCAACTTTAATATTTGAGCTTTCCTGTAATCCATGTTAGATGATTCACAGTTTGTGATTCTCTCGTCTATCCATTTATTCAACTCTTTATTTCCAACACTTCCACCAACCAATGGACCCGGAAAGGACTGTTGGAACAAAGCACGAAGGTAATCCTGGCTTCCACTAGTTGAAACATCAGTGTTTCCCCTCACAACTTCTTGCAAGTTCAGAACAGAAACAGAGCCTCCCACGGGACCCTTCACATATAGCAAGAAAACATGCACTGATGATAAGCTCTTTTTAAGACATCAGTGTTAAAAATAGAAAAGCATGCTCCATTTTTGGCCAAATTTCACAAAAGAAATAAGGATTTAGGGCCAAACATGCAAATTCTCTTCTGGACATAAACCTAGTGCAGATACATGACTATTTATGTTGAAGAATACATGCAATAAACAACAATTTAACCTCTTTTTTGTTTAATTTCCCTTGTTCTTTCACAAATGAATGAGCAATTAGAAAAACAATAAAAGAGACCGTTCTGAGGTCTAACCTGACTTCCAAACGATGAGTTCCCAAGGTTACTATTGTCCTTCATTACTATGAGTTTTCCCCCAAACCCAAAAGTTACTAAGGCATGCGGAGGACGCCCGTCCGATGACCTTCCGATATTAGGAGAATAAGAAAACTGATTTCCACCCTGAAAAGATTGTTGAGCAAAATTTGCGGGTTTCTGACTGCCATAGTAATCATTTGACAACTGCATTTGATCATTCAGCTTCGCATTTGCTTGATTAAATGACCGTAACTCAGCGTTGAAGTTCTGGTAACCCAGAGTACCGTTGGCAATGGCCTCATTGTGTCCCTGACTAGCTCTATCGTATGATGGAACTGCTCCAAAAGAGTTTAAAGATTTCTGCTGATCTTTGTTCGTGGAAAAGTTTGAGCCATACGAATTATCGAATTGCTGATTTCCGCTAAACATTGTTGATGATGCAGTCTTAGGCATGGATCCACCCCAGCCGCCATCTTGACCTTGGCTACCAAGGCCTGTTGACACATGATTTTCCGCCTGCCTATACTCACCGTATGAACTACTTTCATTCTGAGAATAAATATTGCTTGAAACAAACCCGTTTTGATTTTGCTGACCATAGTCATTAACTGTTGATTGAACCGTAGAAGCATAAGCATCCAATGAGCGCCATTCCCGCGCAATTGTGTCGTAATACCAACCAGGATATTGGGGATCGAAAACCATATGTTCAGGGTAACCTTTGTTCACTTGGGATAGCTGATTCCATTTGGACACGCTCTGACTTGTGCTGGTCTCGGTTGCACTTCCCACGACAGAGTGCGATGTTTGTTGCATATAAGAAACCTCGGTTTTTACATCAGAAACAACACCGATGTCGTTGGCCGAATTCGTGGCAGAGCCACCTTGAGCATTCGCTGCCGAATCAAAACCATCCACTTGGTACCATTGCCCAGTGTTGGTGTCATACTTCCATCCTGGATAGAGACTTTCCCAGTACTCGCTGCTCTTTAGATCCTGACCATTATTTGTACTTTGCTCTGCTGGAGCTACATAACCCTGGCCTTCCTGATATTGTGTATAATTAACCACACCATTCAGACCACCATCTCTATGCTCTAAATTACCAGATACAGTTTTCGCTTCAGTTGTCGAATTCTCGCTCACTATCCCAGGAAATTCTCCAGAAGCATCACCATCCAATTCATTGAAAAAATTCGAGTAAGATCCGAACCCATTACTAACCCCATTCTGAGCAGCATCGGCATGAAACGAGCTCCACCCCACCACCTTGAACCCCAAAGAACTGCCGGATTCGCTACTCTTGCCACCGCCGATCATGGAATCAGACGCAGACTCGGATCCCGCACCAGCATAATTCAGCTCCGGTACGCCATCTAACACGGCTGCGTTGGCCAAAACCGAAGAGATCCTGTCGTCCGCACCAGAATCGACAAAACCACCCTCATCAATTTTCGCGCCGCGACTCGAATCCTCAGCAACATCGCCGATGGTAAGATTAGCAAAGGCCTTGGCGTCGTCGGAATCATTTCCTTTCGGGGCCGAGTCTGCAGACCCCAGATCATCATCATCCACCAATTTATCGAAGAAGTCCTCGTCCGTTTGATCCTCCACCTCGAATGGAGGAGGATTAGAAGCCATCAATCAATTGACCTTAAAGAAAACCTAATCAATCACCCAATTCTCCTCGGAAGGATTATACCCAATCAAGATAACACCTTTTTCTCTTCTCAAATCCAAAATCTTTCGGAATTCGAGCTCGGGCTTCGACTGGGCCTCGAGATCCAGACAAAATTCAACCTTAAAAGCAGGAAACGATCGAGATCTAGGGTTTCGGAGGTCACTGCAATTTCCGGAACACAAAACAAAGCAACGAAAGAAAATTCGAAAATGTTGCTGTGTTCTGCTTGCTTCCGAAGCAATTCGGTTTATACCCAAAAAAAAATTAAAAAAAATGGATGTTTTGAAGAAAAAGATGGAAAATTTACCTTAAGAGTTACAGATCGAGAGGATCGCAGATTCCCATAGAGAGAGAGAGAGAGAGAGAGTCGGAGCATAGGAGAGCCCTCGTTTTCGCACTACCCAGTACCCACCCACCAAGAGCTTCATTGTTTTTTTTTTTTTTTCCTCAGACCAGAAAAGGCAAAATATATCGTCATTTTAATTTTGCTTATTTATTATATTTCCTTTTATTATTAGCCTAGAGTCATTATTCATTCGGATTCAATCTTTTGTCGCCTGATTTTACAATTTTATAGCCATTTTAATATAATATTAATTTATACAATATTAAATGAGTAACCTTAACGAACACATCTTAAAAATATATAGATGAAGATTTTTATTCTTACTCTTAATTTATAATTTGTATAGTTAAATAATCACATTAATAAAAAAATATTTATTAAAAATAAAAGATAAATGTTGAGATTTATACACTCAAAAATAAATATTTTATTTTTTTCCATATTATAAATTGATAGAGCGAAATGAGTTTAGCTTAATTTAGTATTGCTGTAGATTTTAGAAAAATTATTTTTAACTCTACTGAAAAAAAAATAGTTGTTATAAAAAGTAGTTAAGTGTTTAGTAAACTATAATTATAGTAACTATACTAGTTTAAAAATTATTGTAATAACGTTTGATAAATTATGAGATTAAATTACCGTGAATAGTTAAAAATTATAACTATATTATATTATACTATAATATAATATATATTTATTATTACATTTAATATAATATAAAAAATTATTATTGTATAATTATAATATAGAATATAATAATGTTATTAAAATAATAACTGAAATACTAAAAAATTACGATTATATTATATTATATATTATATTATAATTATCATATTATAATATATTATATTATATTATCATTATTATATTATATTAAACAAATATATTATAATTAATATATTATATAACCATAATGTTGTGTAATACACTATAATAAATAATAATATTAGAATTATAAGATTATATTAATATTTAATTATATTAATTATTACATTAGTATTAATATAATAAACATAGTTATATTAATACAATATAATATATAATATTATTATAAAATAATAATTATAATATCATATTATAATTATATTATAATTATAATATCATATTATAAAAATAATTATAATATTATTATAATATCATGTTATATGATAAAATAATAATATTAGAGTTATTAATATAATTATGATATTATTTATTATAATATTACTATTACATTATATTATTTTATTTTATATTATTATATTATATTATATTATATTATGAGTCTGAATTTTAGATTGAGAATATTGTAAATTTTAAATTTCATTAAGAATATTATGGGTATTATGAAAGTTTCATTAATTGTACTATATTAATTCTCGCGCAATATAAAAGTTAAATTATCTTTAGACTGCTTCTTATTTTAGTTGTAAATTCTTTAAAAAAATTTCAAAATTTTTTTAAAAAATACTTTTTTAAAAATTTATTAAACACTAAAATTAACTTTTTTTTGCCGATAAAAGTTGATTTTGAGAGCGAAAATCAATATTGTTGGGTGACTTTTTGGTGCGTGAGCAGTGAATAATTTTGTGTTATTATTTTAATAATGTTTTGCTTTAAACTGTTTCTGCCAACGGTGCTATTTGTCGCATCAACCAGCCAGTTTTTATAGCTGCTACTTTTATTTTTTTTATTTCGCACCCCTAAAATTTATACTTATCTACTCTTCTAAAAAAAAAAAAAAAGATAGAGAATGTTATTAGAATTTGCGGTCTGAATGGATTTGGATCTCTATTCTGAATCTCTGATATATCTATATATATAGAAGAAAAAAAATCGAATGCCCAGTTACAAAAGACAGACACTTGATATTTTTAGAGTTTTTAATAATATATGCAAGTAAGGAAAAAACAACAAACGGAAGAACTGATCTGTGATCTTGATCGTTTATATACATACCTAAAAGGAAAAAAAAATACAATTTGCAAAAGATAAAAGTAGGCAGAAGAATAGTCATTGAGGCTAAAGGGCCATCAACGACCACCTTCTCCCATTAATAAAATTGGGGAACAATTAATAAGACGGACATATATGTAGTTGCAGTAGTTTTATCAACATAAAGCGACAATTAATTAACAATAAGAGTCTGAATATGCACGAATTTGAAAATGTAAACCAAAGTCGCAAGTTGATATTATCACATATATATTATTATTATTATTATTATTATTATTATTATTATTATTATTATTATTATTATTACATGTGTCCGTGTAACATTGAGGAGTACCTTTCATCTTTTCATCAATGTCTTGATTCTTCTACAAAGCATCGAGGTTTATCTTGCCATTCGATCCATTATTACAAATCTTATTCCTCATTTTCCAAACAATTTACGTGAACCTTTTCTTTTAAAGAAAAATTACTTTTAGATAAATGAATCTACACAAATAAATATACAAAATGAGAATTTGTAAAAGTAAAAATATTATTTTGACGCTGTGTAATTTGAAACATTTTTAATTTAGGACTCTCCTATTTGGGAAAGTCCTGTTGGGGTATCACGTATTAATTGAAAAAAATATAACATTTAGGTATATTTTGAGCTCAATTTTGAAAATATAAAATGATAATTCTACCCTTTCAGTTAAAACCATAATTAGATAAGACGAAACAATAATTCGTAAAAGAAATGTAAGATGTGAGGAAAAAAAACAACAAAACTAAGAAACAAACAACAAAATATTTTCAAATCTACTCTCATCACAACAAAAAATAAATGATAGTTTAGTCATTTTCCCGGGTGATATTTTATATTACGAGGGTACTTATTGAGATCAGATTTCGTACCTCATCTCTCACCATATACGTGGCAATTTAGGCTCTGGAAGGTTACCAGACAAGTCATTACGAGTCCCTAAATAGGCTAAAACCACTCATCGATCATTATTATTACATATCAGGAAATTATACTGCAAGTTATAATACTTACATATCAGGAAATTCTACTGCAAGTTACTCAAGGGTGAAGCTTTAAAAATTGATTATTTGGCTCCACCAGCAATTTACTTTGCCGGCCTTTCTAGGTACAGTAGTACTTCTGACATAACCCGATCGATCGGAATAAGTAGTGGGAGTAAGAGAACAAGACATTTCTTCGGCGAGCTAGCTTCATGCGTGTTGTTAGATGTCTGCTCTCCTACGTTGTTGAGCACTGTTTGGGAGAATGCTGTCGAGAACCGACCATTAATGCTCCGCTCCCGCTATAGTGGTCGAGCATGACACCTCTTCTTTTCTCGTTAGTCAACAACCTCTATACCCAAATACATGACGTCAGGTACCGCCTAGTGACTAATCTCCCCGCCGATCACTCTTGACATTTGAAAGTTCATACCATGTTCCCAGTCATCCATGCAGGGGCAATTCCCAAGTTCATACCATGTTCCCACTTTATTGCTCCCAAGCACGACACTGATTTGAGCGTTGTAGAGTCTTTGACCGACACCGCACCAGTGCCCTAACTGATTCCGAGCTTTACTTGTCTCCCATGCAGGATAATTAAGTCGGCACTTTGGGAAGTGGAGCAACCATCCAAGAGACCCGATTAAGCAAGACTAAATCGGGTAGCATTGTCTGACTACCGTGCGCTGTCGCACGTGAGTGTTGAGTCAGCAAACACATCAACACATGCAGTTGCAGTTAATGTTGTTGAATTGAATGAGTTATATTTATATATATATATATATATATGTATATCTACATAAAAAATATTATGATCAAGTAGTTTTAACTACTTAACTTACACATATATATGTACGTTGGTTTCATTAATTAGTTATATTTAGTATTACTTTTCAATCACGTAAAAGTACTTGCACACAATCAGACTAATACGCGATGTGTGTGACACTATTAGAGGTGTTAGTTTAGGTCGTCCGACTCTATTCGATTTGGGCACAGCAGCTCGAAAGAAAATTTTAGGTCAGGCCGACCTAATTCTAAAAAAATATAGGATCTATCCAGTCTGACGCTAAATCCAAAAAGTTTAAAGTCAGCCTTAAATTTTATAAAGCATTAAAAAAAACTTTAAAAATATGATGTTTGGGCCGAATTGGCTTAGCCCAACCCTAAGCCCAATAAATTGTCAAGCTGGGCTGGACGCCCTATAACAACGAGCTTCGAGTCAACCCGTTTAGTCTGATCTAAACTTGTAACTCTACATTTAATATATTGTTGTTTTAATTGGACTTCGAAGGTATAAGCAGTAGTATTGTAGTTTGGGAATGGGATATTCATATTCTTACTACATATTATTTTATATTCCCAATCAAACTTTATAAAAGATTTCTCCTTCCCTTTGGTGTAAATATGCCAAGAAAAGAACACGATTCTGATTTCACATGAGATCTGATCACTCTCCCAATTTCAACTTTTAATCAACTACTGCCAAGAATGTAAACTTTAGTATATATGCTTCAAAGGCAGCGAAAAACATCACACGAATAAACAGTTTATGCGGCCTCACAAGTCACAACTCACAAGATTGTGTTGGACGGTGATGCACCTAATAAATAAAGCTTCCTATACATTTTGCTAGCTATAATAGAAAGAGTAGACCTCTTTTTTTTTTTTTTTTTTCTTTGGAACCTATGTTTAAAAAACAGTAAATGGACAAAAATGTCATATAAATTTTCTGATAAGTAATAAAAATCATATAATAAAGTTAATAAAATCTTATTAAACTTTGGTACAAATTTCAAAGTCTTGTTTTTTTAACCAATAAGTCATATTTTGTGAAACAATACCAAAGAGACTCAAAGAAGGAAAAAAAAAAAAAAAAGGGATGCCGTTGAGTCACGGCATGTAATGTTGGTCATTTCTTTAAAACACCATGTCTTCTCTTTATGAGTTGGAGCACTCACAATCTTTCACACCATAGTCTAACAGTCATACGTTGGATGAATTCATATCTTATTTTCTGCACATTCCTTTTCTTATTTTTTTAGCACTATTGGTTTTTGGACCTCCCACCTCTCAAAGATCTACCAAGAGCCTAGCCCGTAATCATATTGGGCCTCCATTTGAGTCGTTGGCCTACGGGGATGGGATAAGGAATTTAA